TGAATATTTGATAATCAGGTCTGAAGTATTGATTTTTTAATTAAATGCAACTTTTATGTATCCTGTGTGTTGAGTTAAAATTTGATATAAATATATTAATAAATCATTTTCGATTGACACGAGAAAAATACATTATTGATATCAATAAGTTGAACTCAAAGAAAGAAAAACCTCACTGAAATTCTTCAGGACCTAAGTTGTTGTTAATAGAAAATTAATAAATGGTAATAAAAAAGAAAACAGTAACTAAATTTAAAAACAAAAACAAAAAAAAAAAAAAAAACAAGTAAACATAATTGGCTATACTTGTCTTAATCAATGCGAAAAGCAAAAGTTAAAAAACAAATGATAGAATATATCTTAAAAAAAAAAAAAAAAATAAAAATAAATAAAAGTAAAATATATTTAATTTAAGAATATTAAGAGCAATTAAAACATTATATATATTCGAATATTAAGGCGAGTTTTGGTTACGCATAATCTTATCAGTCAGTACGTTAGAGTTGCATAAGGCAAAAAATAATAACTCAATTATCCTATCCAAAGTCTCCAGTCTACCTTTTTTTCGAACTTCTTTCTCAACAATTAGTTCCCTGTCTTATTAACGGCCTATATCACATGTTGTAAGCGTCTAAGGGGAGCCTTCGTCGTTTACAGTTTATCCTGCCCCACCATTCGCTTTTAAAATGTTTTTGAGAAACTTTATTGCAGGCATACGTGAAGAGTGTAAGCTCTAAGTACTGGCGGACAAGCAGACAGACTTGCCTAAATCGTTTCAGATTCGAATGCTAATTACGGTTTTCCAATAATTAATTCGCAGTGCTGCAATCATAAGACAAACAGAACTTTTGGACTTTAGTATATTCGCGTTGAGTGATTGTTAAGCACCATTTCTCATGGAAAAAAGACCACGACGATAAGTCGACGAATTGTTTCGATAAATATTTGATGTCGTTCTTCAACAATTTCTGCCTACTCTTGAGCTAGAATCGACGATTCGATTATAAAAGTTTATTATGAGCCGATATGTTGGTTGCTGATTGACTCGACCTTTGAATGCTTGCTTGATAGCTTCAAAACTGCACCTTCGAATACTCCTACTCTTGTCCAAATGTAAAAAGGCGCATTTTAATTGTTCAATTACATCTCTTTTTAGTCGAACTTTTTTAAGCGAATATGGAGTTATGCGAATTTAGACTTCGGAAATAATTTATTCTGAAAATTTTTCAAATTTTTTACTTGTAAGCAAATCCTATCGCATTCTGTTTCCACATTGTGTGCGTCCGAGGAATTTGGTTCACCT